CAACACAGGCCCATGCACACACAGGTGCACACACAACACAGGCCCATTCACACAAACATACACACACAAGTGCATGCACAAACGTGCACACACACACAGGTGCACACACAAATATATGCCCACGCACACACACATACACACAGAAGTGCATACACAAACACAGGTGCACACACACAGGTGCACACATATACACAGGTGCACACACAAAAACATGCTGCCCCACAATACACATACACGTGAGCACACAAACACATGCACACTCACGCACACACACAGGTGCACACACAAACACATGAGCACACACACAAATGTATGCACTCACATACCCACATGCATGCACACACAGGGGACCCATGAGCACATGTACACACAGGACACTCAGCAATGTGCAGGGTGGGCACAGATTTCCCTTGTACAAGCAAGGCCCTAAAGTCACGGTGAGCCTGGGGCAGCCCTGTCACTGTCCTGCTTTGTGACATTGGGCAAACCCTTTTACCCATCTGGGTCCTGGGGTCCAAACCGTCCCCGAGGAAAGCAGATGAGACGAGATATGTGTCAGACAGAGTTCCAGAAGCACGCAGAGGAGGACACGAGGTGGCACGGAGGGCAGCGATGGGCTGTGTTCCGGGACAGCTCGCCGAGGGCCCAGCGCTGGGGGCTGCGGGGCTGGGCCTCACACCCACGCCCCAGGGCACTGTGTGGGACCCTGGCAGGCCTGTGTCCAGGCACTTGCCAGGACTTACGTCCTTTTGCCTAAGGATGGTGCGGGGCTGAGCCGCAGGGAGGGATCTGCTGATGGGCATGGTGACCTCCCACTGTGCTCCCTGGCCCTCCCGACTCGTCCCATGGACACTGGGCAGGCCGGAGGGCCCGGCTGGACCAAGGCTGCCGAGGGAAGGGGTGCAGAACTGAGACATCAGCCATGCCCGTGAGTTTGCGGAGGCAAGGCCCCACCGTGAACAGGACAGATCCGTGCCGGGACCACCTTTCCTGCCGCTTACGGGGGCAGGAGGGTCAGACTGCTGCCCCCCTACTGGGGAGCTCACGCACACAGCTGCGCGCAGAACCAGACTGGGCCCGGGGCCGTGGGCGTGGCTCCGCCTCCAACCTACTGAGGGCATAACTGGCCAGGTGACGCCACCCCCGGCCTCTGCTGCAGTGACTCACTTCCCTCAAGGCTGCACATCTTCCTTCCAGGGCGTGGGGAAGTCCTGGATGATGTCAGGTGGCCCCGGTGGGCGTGAGACCGCACCGTGGCCAGCCACCAGTGACCCGCTGCCCGTCACCATCTCTGGCAGGAGCCCCTGGCCTGCCGTCTCCACCCTGTCAGTCACCTGTTGGAACCCGGCACACAGCTGCTCGGGTGTGACGGCAGCTCCGAAGCTTTATCTTGGCTCGGCAGGCCTGTGTGGGCCACCTCTGGTCCCAGCAGCTCCACGGTGAAGCCACCAACTTGGACGGCACCCCTGGGGCTGAGCGCTCCTTGAAGAGGCCTCCCCAGCAGCCTCCAGGGCCCCAGGCACACGGGAGCCCACGAGCCCTCTGGGAGCGGCACGGGAGGGCCGGGTGCACAGGCAGGATGGCAGCAGCAAGGGGCAGGGGTGGGCAGGGTAACACCCCCCACCCGAGGGGGCAGAGTAAGCGCCGAGACTCCCAGGCACCTAGGGACATTGCCGTCAGGATGCTTCAGACCCTGCAGCGAGGAAGCCGCACACAGTCTCCTTCTCCACGTGCCGCTTCACCTTCCCTGACCGGTTAGGGTGGTTACGCGGGAGCCGGCCACCAGCCCGTGTCACACGAAGGATTCCCAGACAGGCACGTCAGAATCAGACAGGTTAGGCCGGACTCCAGGTCCTGATTCATACTTTGCGAGCCCACAGAAGAGACAGTGCAGGCCTCTGCGACGCTGGGCTTACTGGGCGCATGCCATGCCCCAGTAAGCGAGCGCACAGTCCCCTTCTAGAGAAGGTTCCAGGCATGGAAATCAAGGGAGACCTTCAAGAGCTGGTTCCTCTAAAGGATGCGTGTGTGTCCCCCAGACCCAGCCGGGTGTTCGGAGACCCCGTGCTGGCCTGTCCTGCCCCTGGGCCTTCTTCCCTTGGCATCTTGCTGCCAGGACCCAGAGGGGACAGGGGCGATGACATTTAAAAAGAGGGGGTGTCTGAAGGGTTTTGTTTGAAACTGACTCAAAATAAGGAAAATGGACCAAATCTTTGAAAAGAGGTATGCGTCCCCCTCCTTAGCTCCGCCGGAAGATGCCTGCTTTCCTTGTCCTGGGGGAGTGTTCCTCTCACCGTGCGCCCTGCGGTCATGTGGAATGCAAATTAATCAGGGATCCACGACAGTGTGTCTGTGTGTGTATACACGTACATGCGGGTTGTGTATGTATGTGCATGCGTGTATGCGTGTGTGCATGGGTGCACGTGTGGTGTGTATTTGTGTGTGCTTGCGTGTACGTGCATGTGTGTGTACATGCGAACATACGGGTACATATGTTGTGTGTACATGTGCATCTATGTGTGTGCGCATGGTGCACATGTGGTGTGTATTTGTGTGCACCTGTGTGTGTGCGTCTGTGTGCATGCATGTATGTATACATACAAGTGCACACACCTGTGTGTGCATGTGTGTATGCATGTGAGAGACATAGACATAGACACAGAGATGGAGAGAGACAGGGAGAGACGGGGAAGGGAGAGAGGGAATCTGACCTGTTCTGAGGGCACAGGGCACGTCTGCACGGGGAGCCGACAGGTGGCTTGGACACACAGGTGGCTTGTCACACTGATGGGTGCCGTCCCTTTCGTGCCTCCCACAGGGGCTCGTGGCCCTCCGCCCTGTGGTCCTCAGGTGGACAGGTCTGTACCACGCCCTCTAAACATCTGACGTCTGCTCCACCATTCCAGGGAAACCTGGCCGTGCTGTGCTGTGGCTGCTCGGAGGGGCTTCTGTCCGGACGAGGGACCGGTTCCGATCTGGCTGGCCACTGAGCTTGCCTCTGGCTGGGGTGTGGCTGTGTTGTCTCCCGATGCCCTGCGTGACCTGTGCGGACAGAAGCATCAGGAGAGTGTCTGCCGATGTGCCTCTCTGCCATCCGGGGACACAGTCTGGGGTCGTCCAAGGCTTGGTGTGGCGTCGGTCCCGCACCCCGCACCTGCTGCCTCTTCCCCATCACGCCCCACCCCTTCGCCCCCCGCCCAGACCGCTCTGCCCTCAGCACCCCCACCCTCACGGCTCCCGTGCTGGGGGATGGGCCCCCTACTGCACCTGAGTCCCCCCCCGCCGGGACTGGGGCCTGGGCCCTGGGGTGGAATGCAAGTCTGCCCCTGGTGAGGGCTTTCAGCCAGGAGGGGAATGTGCTCAGCCCTGAGGACCAGGTACTTCCCAGGACCCCTGGCTCAGGGTCCGTGGGCAGAGCCCCAGCGGTCTACCTGGAGGGGCCTCTGGAAGTTGCCCTGATGGACGTGCCGGGTCTGAGAGCCCGGGGACAGACTTGTCCACACAAGCATCTGCTTTGCCGCTGTGGGCCTCCTGTGACCCGCGTGCGGGACTCACCCGTTGTGTGTGGGCCACCTGAAGGGCCCGGTTTCCGTGGAGGCTCACTCCCCACGTGGACAGTGGTTGGCCACCTAACTGGGTTTCTGACGTCTCCAAACTGGGGCATCGCGTCGCATTTTACGTGACGACGAGAGGTAAAGGGGCAGAGAAGGTCCGTTGTTCCAGGACAGAGGCCATGTCTCCCAGACCTGGTTGTCTGCTTGGCACAAGCCCGGGGGCGGGGACGGCCTTCCACCCGCCCTCCTCTGCCCGTGACTTCTGGCCTGACCCCAACTGAAGGGGCCGGACAGCTGCTGGCCAGCCTCTTCCCCCGCCCACGTGATTTGCCCACTTCCCGAGCTGGACCCGGAACCTCAGGGCCCTCGGGGAAGACCATGGTCATGATACACAGGTAAACATGACACACAGATAAACACATGATACACCTAAAAACGTGATACACAGATAAACAGTGGTGCAGGCTGTTCTATGACGTCAGAAGCAATTCACGTACTTCAGAGCCTTCCCGTGAGGGTCGGAAGGTGCCTCTGGGGCAGCACGAGCCCGGGGCCAGGCGGGGCCCGCTGTGCTCGAGGCCTCGCTGCCTGGGTGTGGGGCCTGGGACTTCGGCTGAGCCCTGGCCGCGCCCGTCGGGGCTACGCCAACGCGGCAGTCCTGCCTTCGGATACCCCTCCCCGTCCTGGATGGACCCTCACCCTGGAGGAGTTGTGTGGGGCCAAAACCCTAGAGGGGCTCGGAGGCTGGCTCCCGGCACGGAGGGGAGGGAGCTCCCGTGATGTCTGCGGCCTTGTGACGTCGGATGCCCCGCTCGTCGTCACGGAGGGTGGAGACGGGCTCCCTCGTGGTGGCGGCCCCTCCTGTGTGTCGTGGGTGTTGATGAATCTCTGCTGGAGGGGACGTCCCCCGAGACGGAGGTCAGCTGCTGGGTCTGTTGTGTCCAAGGCCCCTTTCGGCATGTGGGCTGTATCTGGGATCACGTGTGTCCCAAAGGGACCCGTAATGCCACTCCTGCCTTCCCCGCCTGCAGCGGAGGCCCCCACCTGCAGACGCTGTGTTTTCATGTGCTACCTGGTCAGGGTCCTGCTTCCTCCAGGTGTGGCCGGCCAGGGTCCCTCACCCTGGGGGAAAGCGCCTCCCTGCCTCTTCCAGCCGCTGGTGGCCCGGGCCGTCCCGGGCTGGTGACAGCGTCACCGTGTCTCTGCCTGTGTCCTCCCACGGCCGTCTCCCCCATGCGTCTGTGTCTTCACGCGGCATTCTCCCTCCTGTGGGGATGGTCCCGGGGGTGGGACTTCTGCATGGCTGTGGGGACGTAGTTCTACCCACGACACTACCTATGCTCCTAACACCTTTCCTACCTGGGACATTCATTTCTAGAAGGAGATGCTGGGAGTAAAGGACTCAGGGCCCAGATATCCTAGACGCCTCTAACGTCAAGAGGAGGCCAAAGGTGAGCGCCTGGGGCCACTTTGGGGAGGTCTGGGGTGGGGTGGGGCCGGTGCCGCCTTGACGACCCTCCCCAGGACACACACATCTTCGTGCGCTCGTCAGCAGGAGCGTTTCGCTCACACCCACCCTGCTTCCAGGGGCGGCGTGACCTGTGGTTGTTGGTGCCTCGGGGACGTGGCCATTTCTCCGGGGGTGGGGGCTGTGCTGCTGGAGGAAGCAGGTGCCGTGAGGCGGTTCTGGCTTGCCACGTTGTCATGCTTGTTTTCAAGTGGTTTTGCTCAAGCAAACTGGAAATGCCTTCCGGTGAACCCTGGACCCCCTTAAATCTGCGTGACGGGGTGGGATTACGGGGAGTCCAGTGCTGCGTGTTTATTCACTAGGTTTTCCTCACGACATTGCTGTTTATGAGAACTGGGTGTGTCCAAAAAGCCGCTAACGGGCTGGAGGCCTGCCTCCTCCCCCCAGAACGTCCTGCCCAGAAGACATGGGACTGGGATTGCAGAATAGATAGTGTTGGTTGCAAACCAGGCGGGTAACTTCACCTGTGTTGGTAGCTACACAGGGGTACGGACTCCCTCTTTCCCCTGGGGGATTCTCGGTGTCCGTTTGGGGCTAGAGCCAGGAATCGCCGGGTTCTGGAAGCTCTTGGGATTCTCTGCCCCCTAAACACACCTGTCATCAGTGAATATTCTCACGCCGGGAGCGTCTTCTCAATATCCTTCGCTCCAACACGAACATGTGCACGCGCATGGATGTTACCTCCTCCGTACACACGCACACACACGACACACACACGTGGGGTTTTCACATCCCTTTGTATGTCGTCCTTGCTGGTGGAGTGTCTGTGTTGACGCCCCAACTGGATGTCACTTGCTCTGAGCCCCCCCGGCGACAAGGTTCCTGGGCTGAGACGAAAGGGGCTGCAAACAGGAGCAGGGTGTGGGGAGCAGGCCTGGAAGCCGGCAGGGTGTCGGCTGGGGCCTGGCGAGGACGCCGCGTGCCGGGCTGCGCCACTCTGGGGCACAGCGGCCGCTGCCCCGAGTGGACCTCTTCTGCGGGGCACCCCCGCACCTGTCTTTGGACAATGTGCTCCGCCAGCCCCGTGCGTCCACGTGCCTGTGGCACAGCCACAAACAGGAACATCACAGGGCGCCCCGGGACCGCGGCCGGCGACCGTCACATGATGTCCCCCCCCCCCCCCCCCCCCGTACCGGGATCCAGCAGTTTCTGCAAGGCTTTTGTTTGCCATATTGGGACTTAGACGAATAGCCACAGAACGAGCAGGGAACGGCCACACTCGCCTCGTGGAACGCGGGCCAGGTGCACTTTACGACCCCGGAGCCTCAGTGCCGAGGGAGCCACCGTTGACATCCAGCCTGAAGCCCCAGTTTCGCCTGTAAGACGATCGGCAGAGAAGGAGTTCTGAAGTCCCATTCCTTCTGGCTGTCCGAGTTCCTTCCCCAGGTTAGAAAGGGCCACACCAGCGCCAGCCAGCGAGCTCTCAAGGGCTGCAGCCCGGGGGACGCCTGCCGCCCTGGACCAGTCCTCTCTCACGAGGTGGCCGGGGATTCTGGGCGGGATCTGCCTCTGCCTCTGGCTCTCGCAGAACTGGCATGAGCCAGAATGGACCAGAATGCCTCCAGAGACGCGCCGAGGTCGGAGGGCCAGAGCATTCCTCCAGATTCCCCGCTTCGTCGTCCCCATCCTGCTGGGGTCCCCGCCCCTCCTGTTGGGCACACACTCCCCTCCTGTACCATCTGCCCGCTCCCCGCCTGGCGCCCTGTCAGCCTTCCCAGCTACAGCTGTGAGCCTTGGAGAGCTGGAGTTTGGTTTAGCAGAAAAATGAATTTGAATTCTTCCCTCTGGGCCCCCCTCTTGCTCCCCCCCTCCTCCTCCCCCCGCCAGGACCAATTTATCTGCCAGTCCAGCCTCCGAGTGGAGTTGAGGCCAAGTTGGCGACCTGCCCGTGCTTGTCAGCTTCTTTGACCAGATGACAGGAGAGCAACACTCAGCCAGGAAAGGGCCGCAAGTCCCGGCGTGTGAGCGCTCACGGGCGCTGTGCCAAGGGAAGGCAGGCAGGGCAACCGGAAAGTTCTCCCAGGCTGTTGAGGAGCTGTGTGGGGGTGGGATGCCCCTGTCCCCGGGGGCGGGGGCACACAGAGCTATGGTGTGTGTGTGTGTGTGCGCGTGCACATGCACGCATGCACACAGGCGTGTACACACATATGCAGCCACGCACACACGCACACATGCATGTGCACATGTGACGGCACACCCGTCCATACACACACCCGTCCACGCGGGCACACGTACACGAAGCACATGCATGTGCGTTTGTGTGTGCATATGTAGATGTGTGTTCGTGTGCACACATGCACGTGCACACACGTGTGCGTGCATTCCTGACGTGGCACGGGAAGAGCATGAGGCAGCCTTGAAATGCTCCCCGGCTCCTTGGAGGCCCTGCAGGTCTTGTGCGGTGCCCGCACCTGCCTCCGCCTCGACATGAAGTCTGCTCTGGGGAGTTTCCACCTGCCGGGCCCCCGGGGGAGCTGCACCCCGGCCTCAGACTCCCCACACAGCCGGGTCTGTGCACGGCTGGGGCTGAGGGGCCTGCCAGCCCGGGTCTGGGGCCGTGAGCCTCGCTGCGGGTCCCTGGCCGTCGGGGGGCCGCAAGGCCACCTGTTGGCTCAGTAATGACTCCTGAGAGCGTGTGCCCTGGGGTCAGACCTCCGGGCTGTGAGGTGCCAGACAGAGGGCAAGAAGGGGCACGGGTGCCAGCGGTACGGGGATGACAGCCAGGCTGGAGGGAGCCTCAGAAGTCGCTGGACAGGTCGTCTTAAGTGACCTCTGTAGTGCCAGGTGCCAGTGTCCCCTCTGTCTTTGTGGGGAAAGCTCTTCTTTGGCTTCCGGTGACCACTTTTACCTAGTTAACCCCTCCCTCCCTGCCTGAACTCCTTTCTCTCTCTGCTCCGCAACCCCCCCTTTCGGGCTTGCACCTGACTTCCCTGCAGAGCAGATCCGACTTCCCCGCGGGGCTCCTGACCTGCCTTTCCAGCAGCCCCTGGGCCTCTCTGCCTAAAAGACTCAGATGCCTCAAAACCAGCCGGCAACCACCAGCCAACCCAGGCTCGTCTTGGCTTCACCCCAAACCCGCCCCCGTCTGCATCCCGTCCCAGGAAGCATCCACTGAGCTGGATCCAGAAGTCCTCTGTCCGCTTGCTGGCCCAGCCCCTGCACCCCACTGTCCTGCAGGAGCCCCGCCTTCTCCCACGCTGGGCTCACATCCTCTCCAGTCCTGACCACTTCCGAACCCCCTGTTTCTGCCTCAAGCCTGTGCCCCGCTCTTGCCCTACCCTGTCCCTCTAACACCTGCGTTAGTCCATGCTCCAAACTGCCTCCCCTGAACTTCCTTCTTATTCTGCGATGTAGTCCCAACCCAGTCCCCGCTTTGTGATTGGAGGAAATGACCAGTCCCTCCCCAATCCCTGCCGTGTGATTAGAGGAAGTGACCGGTCCCTCCCCGGTCCCTGCTTTGTGATTGGAGGAAATGACCGGTCCCTCCCCGATCCCCGCGTTGTGATTGGAGGAAGTGACTGGTCCCTCCCCGGTCCCTGCTTTGTGATTGGAGGAAATGACCGGTCCCTCCCTGGTCCCTGCTTTGTGATTGGGGGAAATGACCGGTTCCTCCCCGATCCCCGATTTGTGATTGGGGGAAATGACCGGT